CCTTAGCTAGGCAAAGCCTAGTTTAAGACATATTGATCTTATTTTTAATATTATGTTTTTAGAGAATTCATTACATTATACATTTTTAAATGTAATTTGTAACTCTTAAATTAAAAATTAATAATTGAAAATGATAAAAAAACATTAGCTTGGATGCGTAGCTGAGAGGCTATTAATTTTACTCCGCTATGTATTTTTATTATGTTCGTGTATAAGATTACGACAGTTCTATTTGACCGATACTGTTCACCGTCAAAAGATCACAAATATAATAATTCAAAATTGTTATAATTGAAATAACAAAAATTAATCAAATAAAAATGAAAATCGGATTGGGTTGTATATAGTGAAAACCCGATGTTGTGGTTCTATTGGGGTCATATGGTTCGAGGGTTTAAAACGACAAAGACAAGCAGATATAAAAATAATAATCGCAGTACCTCTAATTGAGATGTAATAAATTTGTGTCTCGTTAGTTTATAATGTCCTACCTAAGAGGCAACGAAACGGCGGAGCCAGTTCACGAATACCAACTAACGTGATTATGTACAACATTTTAACAAACCATTCAAAATTAACACTAAGATATTAATTTAATAAATGATCTATTGTTTTACTTAACTTTTATTTGTTTAGTCTTTAGTTATTTGGTTTATGTATAAATATTATAAACCAAGTATACCATATTTAAATAGACAACAATTTGTAGATCTGTGGTTTAGTGCTTTATGAAAGCTTAGTATGCGACTTAAATGGTTGTTGAGATTTTTTTATAATATGTGTTAAGAAAGATGTTTTCTTTCGTTTGTCAAAAAAATAAAACTTCATTTTTAACAGGAACGTTTGAATTTTTGCAAAAAATTAGTATACCAAAAATATTAAAAAGTTATTGAAAAATGACTTTCTGTTGTTACAATTTCTATAATATTTAAAATATACATAATATGATTAAAATTTAATCGGATTATTATTTGCAAATTATACATAACGCATATACTTCAAGAATAAAATACCTGTTTTACATTTATGTATCTTACATATATGTATTCTTCACTACGACACATATAAAATAAATTATAAAGAGTGATTTTTTTATCATAACCAACTCAATTAATTATTGAATAAATATAATTTTTTTTTAACTTCTTTAGTTACACATTGTTCTTGAATTATTAACTATGTAATACTTTTTTAGTTCATCCCATATGCCTTATATGGGGGTATCGACTTTGTTTTTATAGTAGAAACACATATTTTGAATTTAATAACATTGATATTCGCAGGTACACAACATTTATTATCAGTGGTAATAAGGTTCATTATTGTGAGTTTATGAATACACTAACTGAAAATACAAAAAGTATAGCTATATGATCATAATTGACAATAAATACTCCGAAGCTGAGAAGGAATTAATTTTACTATTATGTGTTTTTTGTATTAATTACCACTTTTTCTCAGCTTTCATCGAACCGATTTTTTTATCAATACGTCAAAAGATTACAAATAAAATGAAATCGGAGACATTATCCACAAAAATTGAAAAAATTTCCCTCGTTCTCCGTAAATGGGGAAAATCTCTAAAAAAAATTAAAAATCGCTAATTTTTGACATTTTTTGGCCATTTTGATGAAGTATTCATACCGTCTTGGTAAATAACTGTGATAAATCAACGTATTTAATTTCCATTAAAAATTAATTGATTTCATAGTATAAAAAAAAAAAAAATAGTAATTAGCATTAAAAAAATTGATATTATTTACAATTACTATGATACAATAATAGTTTACTTTCTACACAAATTTCAGTCTTAAAATTCATTTCTTAGTTATTTTGCTTTAGTACAATTTAAAGAGTCAATTATAGTGATTTTATTTCTATAAAATATATCATGACACCAAAAAAAGGCGTATTTAGAAGAGTTATAAAATTTGTTAGGAAGTTATGTACAAGAAAGATCGAAAAAGATGTTGTAGCCAATTTCAATACGCCTGATGACAATATTGGTGCGAGTAAAGACTCAGTTTTATTGAAAAAAATATATCCGGTAGTGCAATCCAAGAGTAACAACGATGAAAGGAAAAATGGTTTGTAGTTAAGAAAAATTATAATAACTTATTTTTCAGTTAATTATTATCATATTATTTTGCGGTCCATAACATTATTCTATAATGTGTTAAAATTTCAAATTCTTTCACTATTAAATCACAACCTTAATACATTTTATTAAATTCAAATAATATGTTCGCTATTGAAAGAAACAAAGTTAAGACCCTTAAGAGGCTTACACACAAGGCGTTTAAAACGAGGCGTTTTGAACGCGAACACCGTTTATGTGTATACTGCAAGCGTTTTGACGCGTTTTTACAAAGAAAATTAGCCCGCCAAAAGTTACAGTATATTCATAACAGATTCGAAATTCCTCGTGGTAGCATTTGCTCTGATTATTTTTTTATTTTTTAAAGTATACAGTACTTATATAAATTGAAATGTATTAAGCTAATAAATGATCGTATTAATTTTATTAACATACATATATATATTCCTGTACTTTATTTAATACTTACCTGTATTCCAAATCGACTCTTCCAAATATATGGAATTAATAAAATTTTCTGTGTCAATAGACATGATAGATAGAAAACACAAAAGGAAATGAATCCAAAATAATACATGAAAATAGATTGAATGAACCCTCACGTGCCCGGAAATCGCCATATTTAATTGCCCCGTGTGAATGAAGCATGCGATTTGTATTGTTTAATTTTAGCGATCGGTCGCGTTCGAACGCATGTTTTTACTCATAGTGTGCATGATTCAATTTAAATGTGGGTGTTTTATATGAAACGATTAATCACCGCGTTTTTAAAAACGCGTACGATTAAACGCCTAGTGTGTAAGCCTCTTTACACTTCATAAAAGTTGTACTTCAGCAACGTGCTTTCCCGCTAGGATCCTAGCAGTTGGCTAAGTTGTACCTCAACGGGGCAACGCTGGCCCTNGATCCTAACAGTTGGCTAAGCTGTACCTTAACGGGGCAACGCTGGCCCTATATAATTTATATCCCACTAGAAGGGCGGTTAGCGGTTTCGTGACCAATAAATATAGACTCTTAACTAACAACGATAACAAACATTTATTTCTATTTAATAGTATATTTAAATATAACCTGACTGGATCTCTAGAGATGTTGTGGTATCCAAGTTAGGTGAGCGACAGCGTCTAACGTACACAAATCCGATTGTAAATAAATAAATAATAATAGTTAAATTAATAGTAGAAAATAATATTGTCGGAATTAAGTTGTAAATATAATCTGCAATAAATAATGAGTTGCCGCGAGCGTGGTAAAATGTCGACTGCCTGTAGTTATATCTTTCTTTAATGAAGAAGAATATCATCGGTTTTGTTAACACCCGCGCGTGCCACATATCTGTAGTTGGTCATAGGGACGTTTGTGCTGATCAGGCACTAGTGTGGTATTGAAATGTTAATGTTGGTGAAGGACGAATAATGTGTACGTTACATTACAACATACTATTAAATAGAAATGAATGTTTGCTATCGTTGTTAGTTAAGAGTCTATATTTATTGGTCACGAAACCGCTAACCGCCCTTCTAGTGGGATATAAATTATATAGGGCCAGCGTTGCCCCGTTAAGGTACAGCTTAGCCAACTGTTAGGATCCTAGCGGGAAAGCACGTTGCAGTCTGGTGGAAGCGCCGGGTAATGTGTACGTTACACTTCAATTGTATTAAATAGTTAATAGTTCAAGAGTAATACATTACTAAGGATAAACAAAAGTAAAAATAATCAAATTATTTTTTTTATGTAAATAAGTTTTGATAACAAAATTATCCTGTTTAATAGATTAATAATATTTAGATTATAATAAACTGTATAAACGTTTACAAGTTAAGTACGATTAACCTGGGCCCAAAAGTGGATAAATTTACCTGTAACTAAAACTACACCTGTGTAGTTAATATATTTTTAGATTATATTAATATTTCATTGCATAGATGAGCTTCAAGATTTTAAGGTAGAGTCTATCAATTCGAGTAAATATTTTAAATGTTTTCTAAGAAAAGTTAAAGAATCAGAAAAACACGATGGTGGCAGAAAACAGAAGGCTTTACAGAAAAAAGATGGTAAATCCGTAATTTAAAATTATACTTAAAAAAATAAGCATATTACTTTGTGTAATTTACTTATACAATTCATACCCTATCTAAAAAACTTGAATTTCAACAGCAAAAAATTTTTCGCAAATATAACTACAGAACCACTTTCAAAAAGTCCATAGCTTATTACTATATCTTATTTTATAGATAACATTCAAGACTTAACGTCCGAATTTAACCATTCAAGACAATTTTTTTTTAAAAATAGTAGCGAACCATTAAAACGGGAGAATGGAAAAGAAACTATGGCTGATAAAATAACCGACTTAAGGGAGTCAATAAAAAGTGAAATTTTAAATGACCCACAATTGGAAATTATCATTCGAAGTATTTATTCATATTTTAAATTATTATTCCATAAAAATATATGATTTAGTTTAAAAAATAAGAAAGTATACTCCGACTACACAACTTATTATTTTTCTTAAAGTATCCATAATTTTACTAAAATTTTATTTAATAGATCAGATTGAAGATTTAATATCCGAAATCGTTCAAGAAATTGTTCAGAAATATTTAATGGAATCTTCTGATTACTTGATAAAAAATATTAGTGGTCAAGAAAAACGCAAGACGGACGAAATAAAAATAAACAAAACATTAACCGAGTTAAAGGACATACAGCAAAATAATGGTAACTCTATATATATTAATTTAATGGAAAAAAACAACAAAAAAAAAAAAGATAGTACATTTATAAATTTAAGTATAATATGATATGTTAATATTCTAGATTTTATTCCTTCTGCTCCGCCACTTCCCCAAACTCTACCAACTCTACAAAAAGCAGAAAATAATATTAAAAACAAAGGTAAGGTTGATAGACTAGTAGGTCTACCAATAAATCTTATAGAGGAAATCAAACGTGGCGTGAAATTGAAGGTAAACCTTTTTAAAATATAAGAATAGAGTATCGTTTAAATTCTATATTATAGCTTAATGTAAGCAAAACGATTTCCTAAAAATTTAATTTCCTCAACATATTTGATGTTAAAATGAGTATTTTAATGATAACAGTTAATTTTTTTTTAAGTTTTTAAATAAAGATATATGATATTAGTATAAGTATTTGATTTTTTAATTTAATATAGCCGGTAAATCCAGCGGTTAAAGTATTAGAAAAACCAAATATACATGACAAAAATCTTCAAGGAATGAACCCATTGGATAGTACTTGTATAAATACGTAAAAAGTCACTGTTTATGTTAACTAAATATGAATATTTTCCAGATATCATTCCTTCACCACCTCCCCATACTCTACCAAAGCCATTAAAACCAGAAAATAATATTAAAAGCAAAGGTAAGGTTGATAGACCAGTAGGTCTACCAATAAATCTTATAGAGGAAATCAAACGCGGCGTGAAATTGAAGGTAAACCTTTTTAACAATTAATAATAGAGTATCGCTCAAATTCTATATTATAGCTTAATGTAAGCAAAATAAATATCTAAAATCGATATAGTATTTTAATGATTAAAGTTCAATTTTTTTTTATCGTACTTATTAAGTAGATCATATATTAATGAATCGCATTTTGAACGCTTCATAAAACTTTTTGAACTACATATTAAATTAGATGAAATAATTTCACCTATTTTAATTATACTTCAAATAAAATATATATTTTTTTGTAATGAATTTTTTTACGTTTTTTAACTTTTTGTCATTCTTATGAAGTGAATATGAAATAAATATTAATGAATCGCGTTTTAAACACTTTATAATAACTATGAAGTATTAATATAAATATATTTTCAAATTATTGATGCATTATATTTTAATATTGGATGTGTTCATTAAATTAATTTTTTTTCTTTAAAATCCATTTATTATAAGTATATATACATAAGTGATATGGTATTTTTTGAACCGCTTGGTGTTGATTTCACAATCTGTCAAAGTCAAAATAAAATATTAAAAAATATATACAATCTTAGTACAATATTGTTTAATATTTTATAGCCGGTGAAGCCTGTAGTTTCAGTAATAGAAAATCCAAAAATAGATGAGAAAGATTTTGAAAGAATGAACCCATTAGGTATTCCAATGTTTCGTCGGGCAAGTATAATGTCGAACCGTTCTACCTCCGACACATCATCAGAATACTTTTCTCTAGATGAATGGGATTAACTAATTGAAAATTAATCGAAAATAAAAACTTGAATAAATAATGTCAAGTTGTAATTTATAAGTCAACCGCTCTGGAGCATAGTAAGAGTGTAATCGAAGAGTGATCAAGATGAGCTGAGGATACCGGTTTGTCTAAAACGAACAGACAAACCAGACACAAACGGACCATCTCATGACTTTGTACCTACTATGTTTTCAAAACCTGAACCATTAACCAATTGCTAACAGCGATGTTGGAGGTTTTAAATAGAAAATTTTAATTCAAAATTTAATAATATTGTCCATGCTAATATTTTCGAATTATTTTTATTTTGTATACAATGTATTATTAAGATTTTTTCTAGTAATAAAAATAGATAAAAATGTCTGGTGTTGTTTAATTGCGTTTTATTTTACTTTTACTTGAATTCTAATAATCTGGTAAATTCAGGTAATAATATATTATTATTTTATATTATTTATGTTTCCTATATTTAAAAAAATAAATACTGACCCTTATCCGAAAAAAGATAATGATCAGTTAAATTAAAATTATAAGGTGGAACATACTAAGACCCCTGATAGGGATATAACTATGTTGAGAATTATGGACATTTAGTACTATTTTCTTATCAATTTTTATTATTTTATGATATGATATAATGTAGCTCGTACTACTGACATCAAACTAAAAGAGGCCGTATTGTTTTAACATCCGTTATAGTTGTAGTTTTCGATACTACAATTTTTACATTATTCATTTTATCAATAATTTAACTTGTTTAAACAACGACTTGTCTATAAGTCAACCAACTGATTTGATCTCAATTCGATGTAAACTAACCAACTGTATTAGGATTCAGGTCAGAGACATTGTACATTACACATGACTTAACTTAATATTTAAAATATAAAACAATAATTTAACTTTATTATATACGGTGTTCAGTAAGTAGGGTAATGACTTTCTATTATTCTCATTATTAGGAACAATAGACTTTTTTTTGCTTACTTTTTAAATACTCTGTATAATGTCTTAGTAAATCTCAGTACATATCAGGGCTATTTTTAAAAGAGTCAAGCCATAACGGGTTTATATGTAACATGTTATATTATGTTAATATATGAAATAATAAATATACAAATTTTTTTTTGTGAAAATAAGGGTAAATTTTATCCATTTTTTTTTGAGTTATAAGGACTGTAATCGAACGTCAGTATTGCCGAGAAAAGAACAACAGAAGCAGAAGCTATAAGAGGATATTTAACTTCCTACGTCGAATTTTCTTACTCAAACATCAGACAGGTAATTAAATCTAAGAGTTTAGCGTCATTAGAAGAGGCAATTAAAGAAAGTATAGAAGAGGAAATCTACAGATATAAAATAAAGAAGGCCGAAAATTCATTAACAATAATAAATCAGAATCTAGAACAAATTCCAAGTATTGTAATAACTGTCGGAAAACAAATCACAATACTCACCAGTGTCGTTTTGCAAAAGAGGATGGACGAGTTCAAGATACAGGACAGAAAACAAGATATGGCAAACGCGCAAATGTCAAGAAAATATCGTGCACTTATTGTAAAGCAAACGGATATACTAGGGAAGACTAAAGAAAAAAAGAGCAAATACTCGTCAGAGCATGTCTTAACAATGCTAATCGGGAAACGGGTAGACGTTGAACGCCAGAGGTGAGCGTTCGGCCTAGGAAATCAAAGCAATAGTCTAGATCTAAAAAGATCATTGCAATTTATACATCAATTAGAAGATAATTAGGTAACCTTATAACACAGTATTACCAGTTACCAGTCCACAGTGATTAATTACTAATATACTGTTAGGGGCTTGTTTAATAGTTGAGGATCTTAGTCAAAAACAAGAATCGGAAGCTACCCGACGTCTGCCCAAATATTGACCCTATCTCCTTAAATGAATTTTAATTACCTGAAGGAGATACAGGCAATCGTGTACCTTAGTTACAGGGGATAGATAATTAAATAAAATTAGACTATTGTTTTATGTCAACGACAAAGTAAAGTTATATTTTTGATGTTCAGTAAATATAAGTTATATGTAAAGTACAATACGTCTGACGTGAATCCTAGTACAGTTGGTAAGTAGGTATATTTATGTGAAACGGAGTTGGTTGGCTACGATGACAATTGACGATAGACGGGTCGTTGAATAAAACAAGTTAAGTTACAAATAATATAAATAAGACGAAAGTAATAGTATTGAAAATTATGTCTATAACGGCCGCTCAAACACAACTGCCCTTTGTTAGTTCGACGTCAGTAGCTCGGGGCTACAGACGAGTAGAATTGTCACATCAGCATCTCCCTCTATGCTAATTAATATGTATTACGAATGAAATAAATAGAAATAAAACGTGTATAATATAAGTGGTAAGAACATAGTAATAAATGTTCTTACACTAGGTACTGTAATACCATCTTTTTCCATTTCTTTTACTTGTTTGTCAATTTCCCCCGTTGTGCATAAGGCCATCGAACACAGTTTTTGGTAAATTGGTTGACTTGTACTTGGTGTATTAATTTCGTGGTAAACTACGTCTGTGCAGGTCATTTTATTCTCATTTTAGTAAAACATGTCAGAAAATTCGTTGCATAAATTCAGAGTAACTTCTTGCTCTTTTCTTGTCATATGATCAACGTACAATGATTCTCTTAACAAATTGTAACCTGTCTGACGAGTTGAAAGTTTATGTTTAATATTCTTGACTGAAAAAATAATGGTCTCGTTAATAACTTCAAATGATATATCATCTAGTTTTGGTATCATAAATGTCCTTGGATAGTCTGCAATATTGATTACGCTTATGAATATTTGTTGGTTTGTGACGTTATTTAAAACATTTCCGCTATTGTTATTTTCACCCGAAGCTTGCGCATGAATTAATAATTGCTGAGCTTCCAATTGATGATTATTGACCTTGACTGGAATTATTTATTCACGGCGTACTAATAGTACAATCTTGGTTTTCTCTCGTATCAATACTTAATTTTTTCCGATATTAATCACAACTCGATTGTCCATTAAGAATGTTATACCGACACAGTTATTTGTATCAAACTTTATTGTCAACTGAGTAGAACTGATTGTTCGAACTAACAGAGGGCAGTTGTGTTTGAGCGGCCGTTCTAGACATAATTTTCAATACTATTACTTTCGTCTTATTTATATTATTTGTAACTTAACTTGTTTTATTCAACGATCCGTCTATCGTCAATTATCATCGTAGCCAACCAACTCCGTTTCACATGAATATACCTACTAACCAACTATACTAGGATTCAGGTCAGACGTATTGTACTTTACATATAACTTATATTTACTGAACATCATTATATTTACGGGAAGTCAAGTCATTATTAGAATTAGCTGTATAAAATAGAAAATTTATTCAAAACTTCAGTGAAATAACCAAACCCTTGACAAATATTTTGAAAAAGTGTTGAATGGAATAGGTTATGTAATTAAAAGATTTAGAAATTATTCGTAATATAATAGTATTTAATATAAAATGTCAAAACATATAATATAAGAGATGTACAACGGCAACGGGTCACTTTACTCGATAGACGGTGAAACTACGACTAAACTGTAAACATGTATACAATAAGCTACATTGAGTAAAACAACATAATCGTAAAAGGAATGTGTCCCTTTGACCTTGTACTATACTAACATAAGTAAAAATACATTAAACTGTTATCTTAAATAATATTACTGTACCCAGTGTGTTGTTTAATAATATCAACAAAAACGATAGTGACTTTATTTGAAGTGGTCTTGGTACAAAAGCATTTAATGAAATAAAGAAATTATTATCTCAAAAACTTATACTGCAATATCCGGATTTTTCACATCAATTACGTAACAACAGGCGCCAGCAACGCTATAGGAGCCATACTATCGCAAGGGAAAATTGGGTCTGATTTACCGATATCATATTTTCCTCTCACATTATACAAGGTAAAACGAACTACAGCACAACAGAGAAAAAACTTTTGCTATAGTATGGGCAATAAAACAATTTCGACCTTATCTTTTCCAAAAGAAATTTACAGTAATAACAGTCTAGAAATCGCTTGCATGGTTATTTAATGTGAAAGACCCAGGAGCAAGCCTTATAAGATAGCGATTACAGATAGATTATACGATTATGACATCATTTATAAACCAGGTACAATGAACGCTAACGCTGATACGTTGAGTCGTATAGCAAAAATTGAATCAAATTCGACAACAGAATACTATCTATCGTCTAAGTATCAAATTTTTTGTCAAGAGATACAAAATAAGATTATAGTTAACCCATATGTTACAGAAATGGAAAGAGATTTAGTTGATTCTGCAGAAGATTTGCATTATTC